AAGGGATACCAGTGAGTCTGTTTGTGGGGAGAAAATGTGATTTGTTGGGAATAAATAAAAAGATTCTCATAATCCAAGGTTAATGTCCTATGACAGTTCCTGGACACGCTACAAAGCACTTACCTGATCAATGATATTATGTTATCCTTCCAACAGTTCTCTGTTAATTGAAGAAGGGAAGTGGAAGTCAAAGAGGGGAAATAAGAGTAAAAAAAATCTTGATTCTTGTCGTCACTTATAACATCATCATTAATATGATTAAAACTTTTTTCTTTCATTAAAATTGAAGGTTTTAAATATTATAGAAATCTATAACCTAAAAATTAAAGGTTTCTCATAATTCTGCCTCAAAAAGATAATTACTGCTAATATTTGGATAGATACTTCTCCAAATGTGTCCTATTCATATGACAACATATATAATGTAAGCATTGTTAACCACATGAGATCATACTATCTATAATTTTGAAACTTGACTTTTCACATAAAAATACATCCTCCAAAGGTGTGTGTATGATTGTGTGTGCATGTGTGTGAGTGTCTTCTTCCTTTTGATGGCTTTCGTATTTCATTGTAAGTAACTAAACCTTTGGGTTGTTTCCAGTTTCTCGCTGTTAAAAACAATGCTATTATATTATGAACATTCTTATTATAATGAAAATATCTTTGGGCAATTGTGCAAGTGTTTTAGCAAAACTGATTCCTGTGATTAGAATTTCCGACTTGAATAACATAGACTTTCTCTGTTTTAACAAAGTTTACCAAATCGCCCTGCAGCAAGTTGTACCAATTTATAATTACATACTTCACCAATATGTAGCAATGCTTGGTTTCCCCACCTCTGTACCCGGGTGTTAGCAATCTTTTTTGAATGCACTGATCTGATAAGTGAAAGTGAAGAGCATTGTTAACTGAATTCATATTAGTTTGTGTACTGAAATTGAGTGTCTTTTTTATGAGTATATTTCAGCCATGTGTAATTCCTTCTGTGTGAACTGTCTGGGTGTCTTACTCATTGTTCTCAAAGATCAATCAACTTTTCTTCCTTGATTTGTAAAAAAAAATCTCGGACCACTAGAGAAAGTAGCTGTTTGGCTATCACAGATGTTATGAATATGACATTATTTATGTCTTCAAATTTTTCTGGGCTAGTGTTGGTGCGTGCATGTATGTGTTTATTTATATTTATTAATTTATTTTTAAGATTTTATTTATTTATTTAGAGGGGAAGGGAAGGAGAGAGGGAGAGAAACATCAATGTATGGTTGTCTCTCATGCATTCCCTGCTGGGAACTGGACTGCAACCCAGACGTGTGCCCGGACTGGGAATTGAACCGCAATCGTGTGGTTCAAAGGCCCATGCTCAATCCACTGAGCTACAGCAGCCAGTGCTGTGTTTATTTTTTTTATAAACTAAAAGTTATTTTTCTAAATATTATGCCAAACAGTCTTTTGCTGTGTTAATTTTTTGTTTCTTGTTCTCCTGAGGAAGGAATTCCCTTCTAAAATATTATAAACATACTCAATTATGTGTTCTTCACATACTTTTATGGTTTTGTTTTGCTACAGTTAAGTTGTTTATCCACCTAAATTTCACTGGAGGCAGTAGGAAGGCATGCAGCTTTACATTTTGCTGGATGACTAGTCATTCTCCTCCTTGCTGTTTATTTAATAACTTAGACTTATCCCACTGATTTGAAATACAACTTTATTATGTAATAAGGTATAGATAGATAGATAGATAGATAGATAGATAGATCGATCGCTATTCTAATGTGTCTTTTCCTTTGCCACCCAATAATCCTCTAATTTCTGGAGAGTCATACTGCTTTGATATCTGATAAAAGTACTATAGCTCTTGATCCCACTTAGCTTTTATTAAAGAATTTTCCTAGATGTTTCCTCATATTACCTTTTTCAGCTGATCTTTCAAATGATTTTAGTCCTATTTAAAAATAAAACAATCAGTTGGGCCTGTATTGCTTAAATGACCCCTTTTCTCAGTCCCCATTGTCTACCAAATGTATTGAGTCCTGATTCTTCTCCCTGCTGCAGTCAGTTCTGTACCTCCCAATCACCTTGATGCAGTGACCAAGGGGAGCTTTCTGGTCCCCAGATTTCATCATTTCCATTTACTGCTGAGTATCTGCCAATGACTTTCCATTTATTTGAGGATACAGCCCAAACATCTCGGTGTGGCATACAGGACCTCTATCTACTCATTCATGTTGACTTTGTATTACTGGTACTTCGTTCACTCCCTTCCCTCCAGTCATTACAAAACTTTCTGTGTTCCCCAAACGAGCCGTGTTCTCCCTACTCTGTGCTCTTGTACAACCTTCTCCCTGTCTGGGTTCCCCTCTCCCACTTTTCTCACACTCACCCTTTTGAGGTCAGGTGTCATCTCCTCTGTGACACTCACTTTAAATCTCTGCTCCATTCTGTATTAGATGTCCTTCCTTCATCAGAACCCCATTCCCAGACTTTTGGGATATACTAAAGTCACTTATTCACTTACATCTCTTCTCCGCTAAATGAGAAGCCCCTTCAGGATGCTATCTCCTTCTTTAGTCCCAGAACTCGTCATTGTATCTATTATATAATCCACCCTTAATTCACTTTTGCCGAGCAAATGCATCAAAAGTGACATCAGCTAGGGTCAATTTTATATCAGTTAGCTGGTCAAATAGATTTCAGTATTAATTCTAGACTTTTCCAGATTCTGAAAGCCACCTGCATTCTTTAGCTCAGGGAACCCTCCCTCCATCTTTACAAACAGAAATACAGCATCTTTCCTTCTCTCAGAAATACAGTACTTTTGCTCTTATCCGTCTGTACCTTGTCTCCTCTGATTATAACACTTCTGCCTCCATCTTATAAGGTTCCTCATGATTACATTGGACCCTCCAAGGTAACCCAGGATAATTTTCCCATCTCCAGATCTTTAACTTACTCTAATGTGCAAAGTACTTTGTGTTGTATAAGGAAATGTATTCACAGATTCCAGAGACTGGGATGTTAACATGCTGAAAGGTGAGGTGGAATATTATTCAACCTACCATGCTTTCTCTTGAAAGTTTTTTTGACCTCTTGCATTAGAATTAATTTCTTTTTCTCTGGATCCCACAATATCCCAAATATGGAAATTTTTAGAACTACTTTGAAGTTTGGGATTAACTTTTCTCTTTTTTTATTTAATTGTTTTTCAACTACAGTGTTCTTTCTTTTAATCCCATCCCAGCGACCCCCCCATGCCCCCCACCTCCCTCCCATTTCCACCCCCCTTAGTTGTTGTCCATGTGTCCTTTATACTAGTTCCTGTAAATCCTTCCCCTTTTTCCACTGAAATTCCCTCCCCTCTCCTCTCTGGTCACTGTGCCCCTGTTCTCTATTTCAGTGTCATTGTTTTTATTTTGCTTGCTTGCTTGTTTTGTTGTTTAGGTTCCTGTTAAAGGTAAGATCATATAGTATTTGTCTCTCACTGCCTGGCTTATTTCACTCAGCATAATGCTTTCCAGTTCCTCCAAGCTGTTGCAAAGGGTAGGAGCTCCTTCTTTCTTTCTGCTGCATAGAATTCCATTGTGTATATGTACCATAATTTTTTGATTCATTCATTTACTGATGGGCATCTAGGTTGCTTCCAGCTCTTGGCTATTGTAAATTGTGCAGCTATGAAGATTGGGGTGCATAGGTTCTTTTGGATTGGTGTTTTAGGGTTCTTAGGATATAATCCCAGCAGTGGAATTGCTGGGTCATAAGGTAGGTCAATTTTTAGTTTTTTTAAGAAAATTCAGTACTGTTTTCCATAACGGTTGTACCAGTCTGCAATCTCACCAACAGCGAACTTAACTTTCTACCTTTACTGTTATTTTTTGGTGGGAAAATTGTGTATTCCGTCTGCGCAGTCAGACTGGCCTGAGTCTGGACCTAGGAGTTTCTTTTTTTCCTATGTGAAAGAGAGGCGTGTTGCTAGGGGGGACAAGAGAACAGATGCAGGAGCATCTCATCCAATGCTTTGCTCTAACACCCACTAGTAAGAAACAGCACCAATTGCTCAGTTCCCTCTTCTGGAACGTGGAGATAATTACAGTATTTACCACATATGTTTCTCTCGAGTATTAATAAGTGAACCTATGAAAATTACTTGAAACAGTAATTGGCACATAATATTCACTTAAAGCTGTTATTGCTATTTTTCACTTGTGAGATTAATAGGAGAATTAAAGAGACAGTAGATAATGCACAATGCAGGGCACACACTCTAGCTTATGCTTTATCATCATTTGTGTTTTAAATACAACAGGCTAGAGAAGTCAAATTGAAGGAAGATAGGAGTTTAGTGAAATGTACTCAACTTTGTGCCAAGAATCTGAAGTATTTCTGGTTCTCTTAATGATGGGCTCAGCATGATCACAGGGTTAATAGATATGAAAGTCCCATAATGCTATGATGGATAGATTTTTATTAGTTTCAGTGATAAAGTAGTAATGACTATAGACTTTTAACTGTTACAGAGTATTTTCAAATATATTATCCCATGGGTCCATGTTGTGACTTAGTGTTAATTCCAGGCAATGTTAGCAATCTAATGGCTATTTGATTATTTAGGTCTTAGATCATTAGTATTCTTGTCATTTAGTGGCCTTTGTGTCCTTTACATGATAGGATATTTGAGTGTGAACCATTTGTTTCCAAGGTACAATGAGCCATCCCACTCAAGTGTTCACAGTAGGGATAGAAATTGTATAATCATCTTCCTCTCTCACAAATGAAGCAACAGCTAAGTGGTTCACCATCTCAGCTGTTTCAAGTTCCTCAAATAAGTTTTACTTTTGCAAAACGAACCTCTGACTTCCTACATTCTGTGAGCTGTGTGTGTTATAACCAACATGACTGCCAGCCACGTTTGTTGTAATTTTTTAAATATGTGGAAAAAAAGAAAGATATCGACCATGTATTACCTTAACCAAGATGCCAAATTATCTAACTTGTTTCTCCAGGCAAGCAGCCCAACCACAGGGACAGCTCCCAGGAGCCAGTCAAGGTTGTCTGTCTGTCCGTCCACTCAGGACATCTGCAGGTAAGTGCTCAGCAAATGATTCTACTTAATATTTTTAGGCTAATGTTTTGTATTCTTGTTTTACATTCTGAGACTGTGTGGCTCTTGCTTCTGCCTTATGTTATCCATTAACAATTTATGCAGGCTTAAGTTTTTTTTCCCTTTAGTGCATTTTCTTCATTTGGTCTTTGTTTACCAACTTCTGGTTCATGCTACCATTTTCATCATTCTTTCTCTGTTTTCCCATGGCTTTCCTCTCCATTCCCACTTCCCATCCTCTGTCTGCTGCTTTGTCTAGATCTGCCATCTCACATGACATGTCAGAAGATGCATTTGAGCAATGCACCCCTGTCATGGTGCTGAGCACTGCTAGGAGGGAGTCTGGTAAGAAATCAGTAAAACAGAGGCCCAGGAGGAGGAAAAGGACCTCTGAGAGATACGAGCATGCAGAAGAACAAATAAGAGGGAGAAGAAATGATTTCCACCTCCAGATCTCAAGTCCCAGATGGAGTGAGCTTTACACAGATTCTTCAGATTCGTCTTCCACAGATGAGAGTCATTGGATCCAGGCAAAAAGAAGAGCCCAAGAGAAATTCCGACTGTCACGAAGGAGGAGAAATCATAATAAATCATGGGGAAACTTGGATGAGGCTTCTGCTCCTAATGGAATTGATCTGGTATATTTGGGCTCCAAAGGTCAAAGGCAGCAAGAGCTGATCGAATGTGAGAGTGGCCCTTTAAATCTCCACAGAGCAAAAGGCACATGGTATGAAGAACGCAGTGTTTCCTTGCCTAAGGGATCCTTTGAGATTAAGAGATCTTCAAGGAACCATGAAGAAAGCAAAGGCAGACACCACCACAGGGACCCACAGCTCTTGCATAGTCTTAGGCCAAATGATCCAATCAACAAAAGATTTTCAGGAACAGATTCTACCACTGAAATACTGGCAGGAACAGAAGTAGGAAAGTATGCAGATGACGCAGGTTTCCAGGTGAACGGCTATCTTCACAAACCTCCTGCCACCTGCCGTGACGGGTCTGAGCATTTAAAAGTATGCAGGTCGGTCACTCCGGAGAAGCTCTTGATGCTGTGCCAATGTTTTTCTTTCTACTGTGAGTTACATGTGTGTTTGACATCTACCCTTAAAACATAACATTTTCTCATGCTGTTATTTGTCTGGTTGTATATAAGATGGTAAAATGAGAAAAGGTGGGTCTGAGAAGCACAATAGAATTTGATTTCCCCTTTCCCCCCCCCTTTTTTAAATGGAAAAATGGTTTATCCTATAAAGGAGCTGACAAACCAGTTGAGTCCTGTACTCATTCTAGTTAAGGCAAGGCTATTGGAGGAAATGTGAGTGAGTGACTCTTCAATGCAAATTTGGTGAACCGTTAGCACCCTGACAGAGAAATATTCAAGGCTTAAGGTTTTAAAGGTTAGAATTTTGTAACAGAAAGGTCTCCTCTGCAGTTGGTGCTAATTTGTTCTCCAGTTGTTTGGCTCAGCAGGGTAATTTAAAACCGAAAGGACACAGATACAGGTCATGGACACGTCAGCGGGGTTGCTGGAGCCTTCAGGGAAGGAGACCACATTAATGTTAGTGATAATCACGCATTAAAAGGTCTCAACGTGCGGGCATGTCATAGCCATAAAACTGCCTTCTTGTGCTTTTTACCCAACTGTACACATTTTCAAAAATCGTTTAATATTAAGAATCATAAAACTGTCCATGCTGCTATTGACAAATGAGATGACTTTAAACAAAACATACTTAACTTGGATTCTGTTAGAGAGCAAATGAAGTTTTTGTTGCCTAATGCTTCGTTGTTTGGGCTTATTTATATGCAAATTGCAGTTACTTGATAAAACATGTATGTGTGTTTCATGTGAATCATGTAACCCAGAGGATGAGGCCTATGTCCATTCAGGGCAGGGCTAGAGGAGAATTAAACTCTGGTTGTAGATAATATTAGAATGGTTTGTGTTCTCTGAAAGTTTTATAAGCGAGTCATTCATAAAATGCCCATTCATTTTTTCACTTAAGCACCTGTTATGCATCAAGTTTTATTCTAGGCTTGAAAATACCCCAAGGCATGAGATCTATATAGTCTCTGACATCTTAGCTCACAGTCAGATGGGGATAACAGTCACAAAACTCATGCCTGTACGTATTTTCAATTGTGATAAGGAATGTGAGAACACATTACTAACAAGGAAACTTTACTTATTCTGGGCCATCAGAGGAAAACACCCTTAAGGAAGTGACAAGCTGACTGGGGCTCAAAGGGTGACAGGAACTGATCAAAGAAAACAACAGGGTTGTGGGGACTGTCCAGCAGGAGTGCCACTATGTGGAGCCAGGGGGAGGGAAGGAGTTTAGCAATCCAGGGAGCGGAGAGCTGGCCAGTATGGTGAGTGGGGGGATGGGTGATAGAGAGGAGGTCTGAGAGGGGGAGAGGGCCCTGCAAACCTGCTAAGGTATTTATAGAAAAGTGACATCACTTGATTTACATATTAATGTGAGTTTCTCATACTTGTTTGAATGTGATTCGTGTGGCTTAGCTAACATCTTGGGGGATAGAAGAAAACACTATTTCTAGTCTAGACTAAGAGCTCCCACTTGCAGCAGTCTGCTGTCATTTCCCAAATCTACTTCTAGCATAATTGAATGAAAGACACTCAAAGAAGCTTTTCGTAGGCTTAATGGTAATTGGAGAAAAAAGTAATGTTTGCAATTGGCTGGTTCTTCTAACTTAAAAGCATTGCTCTGGAGGAACATTTTCAGAGACTGGATATTTAACTTAGATTTCTGTTAATGAAAGTGAGATCAATGGGCCTACAGTTATTATATTTTGCTATGAGTTATCATCAAAATATACGTGCTAAGCAAATACTAAGGGCCGCATATTGTACAGTATGCCAAGGAGTAAAAGTGACAAAAGAACTTGGCTTCTTCCTGTAAATGGCTTATTATCTATTAGAAGAAATCAAATGCACACCCAAAAAGGTGAAATTTCCAGATAGTGCAGGATAACTTTAAGAAGAGGAATACTGTGGGAATTGGAAGAAAGAATTGCTAAGAGGTGGAACCCCTTAAGAAGAGGGATTTTTAGGAGTGAGAAAAGTAGAATTTAAATTGGTCGAGATGCATGGATGGCATTCTAGGCACTCAAGGCAGGGAAAACACCATGAGCCCAGACCTGGGTGCGAGAATGACACTGTGCACTTAAGAATTTTGTGTGAATTTGTGTGACCAGGTTAGGAGGCTTGCATAGATTTATCACAACTAAATTTAAGTTAAAGAGACATTATGAACAAAACCTGCACATCCTTCTAAAAGATTTATGTCTATTCTCTACATCTTTGTTTTCAAACTGCCTCCATGAGCCTCTTGGTACCCAAGAGGCATCCTTGGAAGTTTAGGACAGGTTAAGAGGATTGTACTTGCTTTAGCCCATTTTTAACCAGAGAATTTTCTGTTTTATAATGGGGTTCTATGTAATGTTTCTTTAAGAAGAAAAGAAGATTCCCCTGCAAAAGAAAATACAGAAGAGCTCTTGCTAAATAGAAGAGGCTCTAGGAAAACAGCACATACAGAGTAGTCACAAAGTCCTGAGGGTGTACAGGGAAAGGAAAGTAGCTTTAGGAGAATGAGTTGTGATGTAGTGGAAGTATCCTACTTCGAGATAACTAGGACTAGGATTATGGAGGATAATGAAAGGGGAAGCACTGGCATACTGGCTTCCAATAGGTGAATAGAAATGACCTTAATGCTTGGACTTGGTTAAGGCGTAAGACAAAAGAGTCAATAATGACTCCAAACCTTGGCACTTGGGAGACAATAAATGCTGACGTTACTGACAGAGGCAGAAGAGGTCAGAGGCAAGTTGGTTTGGGAAAGACACAGTGAATTCAATTACGGGCAGGCCACTTTGTGTTGCAGTGATATTCAAGCATCAGCTGTCATGCAGACAATAGGAGGCATGTCACTGGAACACAGAAGAGCAGTCAGGGCTGGCTCTGTATTCAAGCATTAGTGAACTATGCACAGACCAACACTGAACAATTGCATATTTGCAATCGCCATTAACATTATGTATTAGCACAGGGCAATAGCACAAAGATATTAAAAATTAAAATATAATCATGGTCAGAGAGGACACATAGATTCTCAGGGAGGTGACAAGAAGGTGAATGAAAGAGATCACTTGCTGAAAAAAAAAACCTTTGAATGGACAAGCCTAAGCACTGGGGGCTCCTGTGAAGGGGAGAAAAATAACCCACAAGAGAAGCAGCAATTGCCTTGAACTTGCACTCCTGCTGCTTCAGAAATGCATAGGCAGGACCAGTTTCAGCCACAACCACAAGGCGGAAGCTTCTAAACCCTTCCTCCTTGGTTCCTAGCATTTAGTCCCCACATGGACACTCAATGCTTTTTCCCACCTCATTGAAGCCTTGTCTAGACAAAGTTTCTCTGAGCCAGTTATAACTTACAGGAAATTTAAATCATCATGCTATTACACCCACAGTTGTGTAGTAGGAAAAGTTTTGCCTTTTTTGTATTAAAAAATATATACATACCTGTAGAAAAACATGAATTAGGTCATGTTTTTCTTAACAGCCTCTGAATTGTCCTCAGTGGCAAACTCAAAATCTTTAATAGGATTCAGAAGTCCCTGCATGATCTGTGGAGCAGATCTGCCTCTCCAGCTTCAATGCCCATCATTAACAATGACCTCTTCAAGCTGGTCTGGCATCAGCTCCCTGACAGCGGCCAGGCCTGTCTCTTTCAGAGCCTAGGATGCCTGCATGTCGCCTCCACCCCTGCCCTTCACCAGACTACCTCCTAGTCATTCTTTCTTGATTTAAATGTCATCTCTTTAGGGACACCTTTATGATGTCCCAAACAATAATCAGGTTGCCTGGTGGTCAATTCCATAGTCTAATTTTAAAGGGCTAACCTGGAGATAATTTTGTGATGGACCGCATCAGAATTGTTCACAGCAGTGTTCACCTTGCCTGGAAAGATAGCACATATTTGACACAGTTTTTGAATGAATAGATTTAGGGAAAATGAATCTTTCTTAGGGAGTCATTTTTACTGTGTGAAATCATAGCACTAAATGGTGGATTTTTCTCACCTTCTATGGAGCCAACATGTAATGAACACTCCACACCAGCAGTTCTCACACCTTACTGGCCATTAGTTGACTACAGGGCTTGTTGAAGTACAGGTTGTCGGCGTACCACTGGAGTTTCTGATTCCCCCACGTTGTGGTTGGTCCCATGAGTTTGTGTTTCTAAAACGTGTCCAGATGATACAGATGTTATCACCTAGGGGTCATATTTTTAGAACTTCTATTCTTTGCTACACGTTCTCTCTGGACTTTAAGTGGGAAGAGAAAAGAAAAAAGGAAATAGCAAGGATGAGTTTGGGAAGTATAGTTTTATTATTATATTCTATTGAATGCCAACGCAAAGAGCGATCGAATTATTTTCCTGTATTTCTCACTGTTTGCTCGGATAGTGTGGGTCGTCTCACTAAAACTGTAGACCAACAAAGTCTGGCTGTACCAGGAACTCAGATGTCATGATTTGGGTATTGTCTCCCTTCAACCACTTCCTCATCTTAGCTACCCTGTTCCTGTCCTCAACTCCACAAATCCTCTAAATTTTAAGTTTTAACTATATTCTTCTGTACTGAACATATCTGGTGTCTAAGCCCTGCCATTTCTTTCTCTGGATCTTGCTTTTGATCTGCGATGCCTTCTTTCTCATTGTTAGTGTCTCATTTTGGTCCATACTCCACCCCTTAGCCGGCTACCTGCTTCAGTCAGGACTCTCTCACTAGATTAGAATGGACTGAACATATGTGCATAATCTGTAGACACAGAAAACAGTGTGGTGGCAGCCAGAGGGAAGAGGGTGTGGAGGTTGGGTAGAAGGGGGCAAAGGGATGGGGGGAAATGGGGACATCTATAATAGTGTCAGTAATAAAAATAAAGTATAAAAATTGACTGAAACCAAGTCAAACGTGCTTAACCAAAAAAAGGATGTAT